TGCTTGTGATGCTGCTGCTGCGGGTGATGCTGCTGCTGTTGCTGCGGGTGGTGTTGCTGCTGCGGATGATGATGCTGCTGCGGCTGCTGAGGATGGTGCTGCTGCTGGAGTTGGCCGTTGAACATCATGTTGCCAGAGGTCATCTGGTGGTGACCCATCTGTGCCCCGTTCAGCTGTCCATTCATGGGCGGGCCCACCATGCCCTGCCGCTGCCTCAGTGTGGGCTCCATGTTGGCTTGGGCTCCGCTGTAATGCATCATCTGACCACTGGGCATCGCCCTCATGCCCTGCTGGTTGGCATGCTGCTGGTGACCCGCCTGCAGACCACCGTTCATGCCCATCCTGTACCCGTGGAGGCCGGGCCCCGCTGAGCCGTGGTTCATCGGGATCATGAGATGTTCGGCCATATGCCCCCTGCCTGTCAGAGGAGGAAATGCAGTTAGCTGGTGCCTCAGTGACAACGTGGACCAACAAGAACCAGGACTGAGGCCGGTCTATCAGTTAACAACAACAAACTCAGTGCTTTTCACTGGCTGTGTAGGAACAGCAACACAAAAATACACAATGACACGAGGATTTCTTTAGTGGCCAGTGATAAAGAAGGAATTAAAAAAAATCTGGAACCACAGAAGTTTTGAACATTTCCTCACCCATCTGTAGTAGTTCTACTATTACATTCTTTATTGTAACGACTTTGTAATGGATAGATAAAGGATGGATGATTAAAACAGCAAAAACATCACAGAATAATTTGCTGCTGCTATTGAAAAAAGCAAGAAGCTTTTGTGTGATGCAGAATTATCAGGACAAACGCTGTGGAGCAGATGATGGAGAATGTACACAGAGAGAACTCTAACAAAGTCATGTAGTGAAAGTCATCCTAACATGTTATTGTTTAGGATGGTTTGGTTAACTGATGTATGATCGATGGTGACCACTAATGGAGAGACAGAAGACTGCACATAAAAACACACTCCTGCTCCAGACTCAGCTCTGATTGGTACATTCCTGAGTCCTGAACTTCCTACTCCAGGTTGAATTAATAGATAGATGGGCAACATGTCGGGGGTCTGTGGGTTCTATGTACGACAGACTGAACGGTCACCTGCAGTTTAACTCACGTTTGGTTTAAGCTGTAACATGCTGTAAACCACAAAACTAACTAACACTTGGTTTGTCACCACTAAAAATGTGATTTGCTGACACAAACAAAGGGGTATGTATTTAAATACTACTCCAAGCCAGAAGTACTCTGGTGATTAAGTACGCCCCAAATGACCAGATTAGTTAATACCAATGACTCCAGTCCTGATTTGACACCCTCTTGTGTCTCCTGGTTCGTCTCGATGTGTATTAACAACCATTGGGAAACGGACTTTCAAAATAATAAAGGTTGTAGTTGCTATAAAATTGTCCACTCAGTAATAAAGGGAAACTTGTGCAGTTGCAAATGTCACCCAGACATTTCAATGGGGATGCACCGAATATTCGGCCATCGAAATGTTTTATCACCAAAACAAGTGCCTGAAACAGGAAGTTATGATGACGCAAGCAAAAACTGTGGCCAACATGCGGTTTGGAGGTATTCTTCTCTGAGAAAGACCCACAGATAATGATTTGCAAATGTAATTCTGGGATTTCACGGAGGGAGAAGAGGGTGCATCTGATCAAGATATTCTCCACGTCGGGGATTTATCACCTGAAATCCAAACATCCTGATCACTGTGCTGAATATGAGATGAAGGAAAGCCTCTTTGCGCAAAAGCGAGTCTCAGACCAGGAGGCTCCCCGCGACATCCACTGCACACCAGTGGGTCTTCATAGACAACATTCTCTCTCTTCTTGCCCCGTTTGAGCAGCTAACTAAAGAGAGCAGCCGTAGCAGATGTTTTTCCTTTAATCGCAGCACTAAAGCAGACCACAGAGACTGCACTTGATCCGTGTTGTAATGATCATTACTCAGATGTGGGAATAAAGCAGCACGCCCGAGAAATGATCCAGCAGTTTAGACTTAAAGGCACTTTGTGTTTTTAAGAGAGAACATATTTAATTTTACAGTCGGCCTATACTTTATCATTTAATGTACACATATATGGGGTTAGCTTAACATTTTATTTTATTTTATATTGTGCATTGTTGGAATGTGGCAAACAAATATTTTCATAATTTTATTCTTTGAAAGTGCATTGTTGGAATGTGGCAAACAAATAATTAAATCAAATAATTTCATAATTGTATTCTTTGAAATTTTAATAGTAATTTATGCAGTGCCTTAATTTTATTTAAGTTTGGTTCACAGTCATAGCCATTGCAATAGTACTAATAATTTGTGTAATCATTTCTTTCAGTGTTTCGGTTTTTGACCTTGGTTTCCTCATTTCTGGTTTTCCGTTTTGGCCAAGAATTTTAATTTCGTTGCACCCCTACATTTTAATCAATTAGACTAAATGGCTACTTGTTACCATTTCTGCAAACAAACATTTGTTAAAATGACTGTTTGGTTTAAGAACAAATTCTTGAATCGATCAATTTGAACAATAGTTGATTAGATAGTCCACCTTTAAACCACCAGAACCTTAAAAAGGTCAGTCCTCCCTGTGAAAAGACATAATTTGACCTAGATGTACTTCATATAAATACACTGTAAATACTAATACTGTGAAGAACAGATGGTTTTGTTTTTAGCTTCCTTGCTAACAAGCAAAACAACATTACATCACTGCTCTCTTTACTTCCTTGCTAACAAGCAAAACAACATTACGTCACTGCTCCAGATCAGGGAGCGTTTTTAGTTAGAATGACTGGTCATGTTGGTTACCAATTACAAGTGATGTCATCATCAGTCAGTGATGATTTGGATACAAGTGCACCAGCATTGATCATTAGCATGTTTGTGCAAATTTGCATCTAGTGTTTGTTTTGTGGTAAAACAGGTAAAACAACTATATCAATTCACCGCACCATCATCCTAAATTTACTACATCAGCTGTGTCAAACATAGAGCACACGGGCCATAACTAGCCCACAGGAATGTTCAACCTGGCCCGTAGAAGAAATTGAGATAAAACCCAAAAAAAAAAAAAACCAAAACAATTAATTAAATCCATTATATAGTCGTCCTTATTAGCCTCCACTTTAGCTTCTGTCAGTTACACTCACAGATTCTCGAGGTTTGTTTAATTACATGTTTATGTTAAATGTGAGAGTTCTTTGCTGTTTCATTTCCATAATGAATTAGAAAACTTGAATTGTTTAGTCACAGCAGAGCAGTACAGTTCGACTAAACTGGGTCAGCTGCTCTGACAATGACGCAGAATGCAAGAAAAACTAAATGCAAACAAACCTCACTCAAAAACACGTTAATCTGTTCACACTGATCTGACGACACGGTGGAGTTCAGGCTGGAGGGAAACACAACTCTATTCTATATTTACTAATAAGTATAATAATATTAAAGCAGGGGTTTTTTTTGTGTGTGTACTGATACTACACTTGTACTTCTTGGTACTTAAACAAAGAGCACTGATCTGATACGGCTGTTATTATGCTGTTATTTACTGGACAGGCCCACGGTGAGACCGACCCGGGCTGTGTGTGGCCCCTGGCCCGACACACTACAGCGTGACACCCCCTCAGGTTTTCAACTGTTTTCTTGAAAAAGGATTTTGAAAAAGAAAAAAAAAAGTGCCCCCCGGTGTTGAAGATTCCAGGGCCGGCCTCAGACGCTCATTGTTTGGGTTGCCTTTCACGGTGAACGGTGAGCAGAGGAAGTGCGTGTGCGTGTGAGCCTCACGTCCATCACAAAAATCCCTTCCAGCTCCGCGCACGTTAACGTTGCAACAAAGAACGCGGTGACATCCTGCAGCAGAACCACCGCTTTACAGAACATCCACACGGCGTGTGTTCGAACACACGGCCAGTGTCCCGGATGTTCTCCTTTCTTCGTCCCTGCTCTGAATCTGAACCACGGGGGGAGACAATGAAGCTCCGGCAACAACAGCTGAGATCAACACAGACGTCCCCGCACCGCCTCCCCCTCCTCACCCCAATTCTCTCTCACAAATAAACGTGATCCAGCGACATCACTTACCCTTGTCCTCTCCGTCGGTTGTGCGTCTGTTCTCAGCCCCGTCCTTTTTTTTTCTTTCTTTCTTTTTTTTTACATCAGTGAAAGTCCGTTCTCTGGTTACTGTGACAATCCTTCAGGGTCAGGCTTCATGCTCGGTGCTCGGACAGCTTCCTGCACAAAGCCGAAGACCGAGGAGAAGCAGCAGCAGCAGAAGAAGAAGAAGAAGAGCGAGTGGACGAGGAGGAAGACTGCAGCATCAGATCCTGCAACGACTGCCTTTTTCTGGGTCAACTCAGGGATTATGTACATGCAAAACGCTGAGAGGCAGGCAGCCGGAGAGGGGCGGGGCCTCGCTCATTCCTCTCCTTTGTTCCCATTGGCCCCACTTTAATATCGCTGTCCAGGGGCGTAGAAAGAACAGAGGAGGGACGTTATTGAGACGTGGCCCCCTACAGTTGTGTTTCTCAAAGCATGATACATAGATAAACAAACAGTCAAATTTAAGAAAAAAAAGATGGTTTATTGATTTATTTATAAAAAATAAATTATTTAAAATGTATATAAAAATACATTACTTATAGATACTTATTTACTTCTAAAATAAGTCTTTGGTATATCACACACATTATAGATGTAATAGAAAAAAATACAATATTATACATGACTTTTAATGCAATTTTTTTGTGTTTATATCTCACATAAAATGTCTAAAAAAAAGTAAAATTTTGTGACCAAAACAATATATGATTCTTCCTGAATTTTCAGGTCTTATTGAAGAATCTTTATAATCACAGATGGAATCAGAAACCCCCACAAGAAAATGTTTTCTTTTTTTTTTCAAACCACCTTCTTATTCATACAAATGTCTCCATGTAACTGGTGTCGTTGCCCTTTGGGATTTAAACCAGCAACCTCTGACTGGACAGGCCAAGCAGCTGGTGTGGTGTGTGTGGTGTAGTGTGTGTGGTGAGGCTGAGTTTGAGATTTTGAGTTCTGCCGACTTCAGGGGCTCCACGTGAACCTTGGCCACTGATTGGCTGTTCCGGCCGTGTTCCAGGGTTCCGTTGGATTCACGCCACGATGGTGTGTTGTGGTCGTGTGAACGTCGTAGAGATCGTGGGGATTCGATGCGTTCCTCATTAAAGATCTGAGCTCTTCCTCTGCTCAGACCGTCTTCCTGCAGCGCAGCATTTCTTCTGCAGCTCAAACACCGTCGGTAAACAAGCCAGAGCGTGCATTTCTGGTTTGAGAGCAGACGTTTACTCTGCTCTCTGCAGGAACTCAGCGCCGATGCGTGAACCAAACGTGACGAAGGGAAACGCTGCAGACGGTGGTGAAATAAGAAAAAAAATGATTGTTTCATTTTTTTTTTAAGTTTAACACAAAGGTCCTGACCCTCTTTGAATACGACTGACGATCAGCCTGATTGACAGCCCTGTATTTGTTCATATATGTGTATATGACCGTGTGATACCAGTGAGTCACCGCCGTTCGTGTTTGCTGTACTGAGTCATGGAGATGTGGATGTGTTTGTGGGTCGACATCTCT